GCGCTGTCCAGGCATCTGGTGCTGAAACTGGATGACCTGACAGACATTGGACGAAAATTAAAAATGAACTTAACTTCATATTCATATTAAATGGAGGGGTAAACCCGTTTTACAAGAAAATGGATGACTGCTCTCTATTTACTGCTTCAACCACACTTAGTTCTTGAGTAAGTTTTAACGTAGATGTAGATTGTATTTTTGAAAACAGTGATAAATGGTCTAACACTTTTAGGCAAGCTTCGTTAAAACTTACTAAAAGGCTAAGTTTAAAAAAAAAGACTAAAACAACAACTGAAAATCGCAAGTAACTGTTAAATCTAGCAGAAATCAAATACACATCACAAGCCATAACCATATTGTCCAGTCTAAACACTTTTAAATACCAAAAATTCACACTAACAAATCTTAATTTGGAAGAATAACAAGCCAGAGAAATTCTTCAAAAATAAACCTTTATATTGATGAATGTAGTTTTCAAATGCTGGTAAAGGTGCGCAAGAGGCATGTACATTTATGAGACCCCAAAAAATTGTGGCATAAATAATCAGGACTATTTAAATTGGGTTCATTATAGTGGCAAATGGCTTTTACAGATACGCTGATATGAAATGCCATAAGAGAGAGAGGATAACAGTTTTATACAAACGTGTGAGGTTTTCATAAATTACCATACAAAAAAAGTTATTTGAACAGGAACCACCTTAATAAAGTGGATAATAGAATTAATTCAAATATTATTAAAAATATATATATAATAAGCCGAGACACCATGAAATGCAAAAAAACAGTACAAAAAAGTAAAGCCTCTCTTACCTCATCTTCATTTTCTGTAACGTCAATTGTTATCATGCTCGAGCCAAACTGAAAATTGTGCTCCTTTTTCAGAGTCCCACCAGCAGGAAGTGTGTTTTCATTATATGAGCTCACAAACTTAAAGTCGCTGGTGCGCGAGCCTGTGGTTAGATACGCGTCATAATTGTAAGAGCTGCGGAGAGTTCCTGCTTCATCCACCTCTGCATAATTGGGAGGTAGATAGGTGCTGGGAACAGCAACTGCTCCATCAAACAACAGTCTGGGCTTTCTCCTGTGACAAAACTTCACTGCCACGATCAGTATGATGAACGTCAGGAAGAAGGTGGACACAGAAACTAATGCAATGATCAAGTAGGACGTTAATTTAGAGTTGCTGTCCTCATAAGTCATATCTTTAAGTTCAGGAACTTCAGAAAGGTTGTCAGAAATTAGTAAATTTACAGCACAGGGTGTAGACAGAGAGGGCTGTCCGTTATCCTTCACTGAAATAACAAGGTTCTGCTTCATATTGTCAGATTCAGAAATGTCTCGTTGTGTTTTGATCTCTCCACTATGGAGACCAATGGAGAAAAGTCCAGGATCCGTAGATTTGACAATCTGATAGGACAGCCATGCATTCTGTCCAGAGTCAGCATCTACAGCGATCACCTTGGACACCAGAGAGCCTGACAGAGTTGCTTTAGGGACCATTTCAGTCATTAAA